ACCAGGGATTGAACCTGGGCCCCAGCAGTGGAAGCCCTGAGTCCTAACCACCGGGAATTCCCTGTGTGTCTCCATTTTGAGGGTCATGGAGTCAGGCTTGTAGATCTGAAATGGGGGCCCCATTAGCTCAATGAAGGAACCCTTGAGGAAGGGCACATTTAGAGTAGAGGCATCATGAGTTCAAAATTGTAGAAACCCTACTATCATTTTTTATTGTCGTTATTCTAATTTATATGTGATCCTATTCAGTTGCCCCTATTCAGATATTTTCTTCTTGGCTTTTAAACTTTACCAAATATCAATTTCTCTGTTCAGGTTAAAAAAAAAAAATGATTTGGGTTCCCTAAGTGGATGTTTTGTAATGAGAGCATTTAGGCACCTGGGTGTCTTTTATTTCCAAGCATATAGCCTGCTTTCTTGCCAGACCATCAGATGCCCTTCACTAGGCAGTCTGGACAGACCTTTGTGCTTCTGTCTCAGGAGCAGGCTTGCTGGCAGTGATACCTGGCATTGCAAAATCCTTCCGTAAGCCTTTGTTTAATGCCAGAGATCTCAAATGCTGAAGATTCTGGAAAGGTGCCATACTGCACTCTCGGATTAGGAGCTGATGGAAGGCCTCCCATATCTATGAGCCTAATAGAAGCTGTCATTTCAAATGAATGAACTGTTTATACTGTTGGAAGAAGTCCACGGATGTTTGGGGTTCCTTTTTTAGCCTATAAAGTTCTGAGCTATTGGACAATGGTCTCATAGACAGTAGTCTAATCATTGCAATGTTTGTGCCACTCTGAGGTGAGCCTGTAAGAAATTCAGCTGTTCCTTTTGCTGATTCCTGGGATCACCACTACAGGCTGGTTGACTTGGAGCATTTTCTCATTTGTCTTCTGTGTCAAAGACTTCAGTGGGAAACGTGGGGTTTTGTGCACCGTTAAGAATGATCATCAACTGAAAAGAGCATTCTGGAATGCATGACTGGGCAGGTGGGCAGGAGAACATGGAAGTCCCTTCAGAGTGTGCCTAGGTTGCTCAAGTCCCACTTAAGACATGAATGCGGGTCCTCTTACTCTGAGGCACAAGATCATCCCAAACTCTGGACAGTCTTAGAAAATCCGCGATGCTCTTTGCTCTGCCTCTTCCTCTGCCAGCCCAGGATTAGGCTGTGAGAGTAGGTGTGTCCAGATGGTGAGCTGGGTATCGCCCAGAACGAGGAGAATCTTTTAAAGGATTCGGCCTTGGTGAACCCCTGGGATCCCCAGCCTGAGCCTGTGGTTGCAGAGCCAGCCCCGGATCCTTCCAGGTGGCGCCAAGGGCTCCCTGCTGCTCCCAGCCAGACGTGGGCTGCCAGTATGTTCACACAGGCCTGGTTCTGGGGCTCCAGAGGGCACAGGGTGCCAGCCATAACACTGAGTAATGCTGGGAGGTGCCTTTAGAACAAACAGTGTGGGTGAGCTCTGCACAGAGGGAATACCTCTGGCTTGACGTTTCAATTACTGAATTATTTAAATGAGCGTCAATTAGGTAGAGTAGACGGACTGCCTTCTGCCAGGGCACTTCCTAGTTATTTGCACAGGCAAGTGTAAAATGCTTCATATCAGATGTGGCGCTTCCTGGCTGGACTGTTGAAAATCAGTCACAGAAGGTGATTATCCTTCCTCGGTGTTCCCTGATGTGTAGTGTATTTATATCTCAGTCTGAGAGATTAGAGGTCCACAGACCCTTGTTTGTGGCCCTAAAAAGGGCTTTGTGATAATTCTCACACTTCCCCACCCCACCAGCCTACCCCAAATAAGATATCCCAGGCCCACACATGTTATGGTTATTCCTAAATTTTAACAAGATGAAAACAGTGAGTCACAGGCATTTGGGGGCCTGTTGTGTTTCTTAGAATTGTGAATATTAAGATCTGAAAATGCTACTACCTTGCTTTTAACCTGCTTTGTTGAATTAGTGATCCTGGCTCAGAAAATCCTTTTGGGGTCTCTTAGGTTGATCTACTCTGTTGGATAAAATTGCCAAAGTGGCGTTTAACTAATGTTTGGGTCTGGTGTAGATGTGTGTGGGGGTGCATGGGGTCATTCTTAGATTGTGAATTTAAGGTTTTTATATTTGGCTGTATAAAAAAAACTGAAGGGCTCTGCTAATCAGTCATATGGGAATTCACAAATTAAGAAAATTAAATGTTGGTGAAAAGCAAAATAGGAAGCAGAGTTGGTGGAGTTTTTATACTTTCCCATTTGCGAACTACTGAACTGAACTCATGGTCCCATATCAGAGACTGAGTTAATTATTACATAGAGTTAAGAGTTGTCTTCCTTCTTTTTTCCTTTTTTCTGATTGTGGCAGGGAAGATCTGAAAACCTTGGTTTTTAACTTAGAGTATGACCCCACAGGATAAGATCCGATTAAAATCTGCACCCAGTTACGCCTGGATGCATGGCAGGGTTGGTTCTAGTGGGCTGAATCTTACTAAAGACGGTATCTACTTGAGGCTACTCACTTCTGGCAGTATGCTCTAGGTCACAATTGAAACATCTGTCAGACCATCCCCATGTCCTTTCAAAAGCCAGAGACCAAGGTAGGAGATATCTTGTGCCTGTGCACCTAGAGTTTGGGCTCTGACTTTAAAAACCGAGTTCACTCTGAAGGCACGTTAGAGAAATTATTATTGTCATTACTTTATTTCTTTTAATTGACTTTTTTTTTTATTAGAAGCACCAAGTGCGATTAATTCTTTGGTACCCTGAACCATCTGTTTCCACAGAATCGGTGATGAGTGAGCCCTCTGTGGCCTGGGGTTGTTGTTTTTTGTTGTTCCTGGCAGACCCTACGTGTAGCAAGTAAATGATTCATCCTCCTGTCTTCATTATCAGTCTGTGGCCAGCTCCTCTCCTGTATTATTTTCATTTTACCCCTTCAACCCCTCTTCCCCAACCCAGCATCAACAGATACAACCTCTTTGATGTGTTCAGGATGTATTTTTGGATATCCGTGACCTTTAAAAATTATTTAGGGTCTTAAAATACACATTTGTGTTTCACGTTTACATAAATTACATTACTGAACAATTTTTCAACATACACTTTTAAATTCTCAGCTATGATCGCAAATCAGTATGACACCACTAACTCTGCCCCTCACCCCGCCCATCCATTTCCCTCCAAAGAGCCGTCACCTGTTGGGCAGCATAGTTGGCAACCCTCAGCACAGCATTGTGCCATCCGAGTGGCAAGCATGTCTAGACTCCCTAGAAATATTATCTTTCAACTTGCTTTTGGCAAGAGTAAACTTTCTGCTGGATTATGTCAACAGATATATATGTTTCTCATCCTCATAGAAATAGATTGGTGCTGGAGTTTCTCTTGGATTTCTCTAGGCAAGGAAAAATAAAAGACTGCCCCTCGGCTCATTAGCGTTCTTGCTCATTAAAAATGTCTGAGGGCTCTTGCTCCTTGGGGGTGAGACTGGTGACATACATACACTGTCAGCGGCTATTTTGGATTTTCTGCTTTCAGGCATGTCTCTGCTCTTGGATGAGCCCCTTGTGGTTTTCAAAAGACCTAGCAAGTCAATTATAAATAGAAAGCTTGTGTCTGTGTGTCTGTATGCGCTTACTCTGTGGGACGAGGCACCCACATTACAGTGGGCAGTGAACTATTTTTCACTGCTTTGAAGAGGGAAGAAGAAAGATGAAGAATGCTTTTCTCTTTTTGAGATAACCCACACCTCCACACATACCCACACAAATCTGTGTAAATGAACTTGACATTTTCAAAGACCTTACCTTAAGGTCTCCTCTTGAAAGCACAGCCATCCGACCTGTTATTTTAAGAAGGAAGCCGTTCTCTCACTGACCTGCTGCCACAGAGGGTTCAGGGACTTGAAGGCAGGCTGTGTGTGCTGCAGGCCTTCATGGGGTTTTGAAAGGCGCCACCCCTTTGTATGAACAGTGCTTTGGTCAAAGTGGCTCAGCAGACTGATCAGGGGCCTCCAGGGATGGCTGTTTATATTCTGTCTTCACTTTCCTTATCCACTAGTGGAAACTGCTGGTACCAACCAGTCTCAACTAATTATTCTAACACAGGAAAGAAAAGAGTGATTTGAAAGATGAAACTGCAAATGAGTGTTTTCAGAAAGAGACAATTAGGAGGTCTGGTGAGGTATGCTTCACTGATGATCTGTCTTGTGCCTTGGACCAACTTGTGCAGGCTTTTCCTTTAGTCCCACTTGTTACTTTACTGTTCAAACACTGTTCGATTCCCTTTGTCTTTTTGTGCCTCCATCCTCAATAATTAGTGCCCCCCCCTTTTTTTCCTGCCAGTTGAAAATGTTTTAGCAGTGATGAATTCCCATAGTAATTAATGTAAAAACTCAAGTGTTCTCCTACGGAAAAATTAATCTAGACATCTAAGCGAAACTGTCGATAACATGGATATGTAATTATAGACCATGCACCTTTGTGAACTCTTACTGTACTGTTGTGTTTCTGAAGCAGATAGGTTATGGCAGGAACATCAGCTGCTCTTGTGTGAGTAGTTGACAGGATTTCGTATGCAGCTGGTGGGAGCTGGTATTAGCAGATGCTATGTATCTAGGAGCCTCTTCTACAAAAAATAAAAGCAATGAGCATTATGCTCTGGTAAAAACATTCTGATTCAAGAACTGGGATATGAGAGCCCACCAAACCAAAGATACCTTGAAAGCCACAATGGGAGAAGTCCATTTTCAGAAGCCTGTAACAGATGATAACCGTTCTTCAGCCTAGTAGGATGTGAAAGTGCACCCAGCTTATAGAAACACATTCATACCTTGACAGGTGATTATTATTTGGTGGTTGGTCAGATGAGAGATGTAAGATCATGACCAGTGGTGATGCTTCACCTGACTTTCTTCTGTTCGGTTAATGAGTTTGCATTGGTCTTGGAGAGACTGTGTGATTCCCCCAATGGGGTTACAACCCACACGGTGATTTTTGTCTTCCTTTTTCTCTCCCCACTCTGCAGACGAGAAGCCCAAGGTAAACCCCAGACTTTACATGTGTGTGTGTGAAGGCCTCTCCTGTGGGAACGAGGACCACTGTGAAGGCCAGCAGTGCTTTTCGTCGCTGAGCATAAATGATGGCTTCCACGTCTACCAGAAAGGCTGCTTCCAGGTCTACGAGCAGGGGAAGATGACCTGTAAGACCCCGCCGTCACCTGGCCAGGCTGTGGAGTGCTGCCAAGGGGACTGGTGTAACAGGAACATCACGGCCCAGCTGCCTACTAAAGGTTCCCATGGACTTTTCTATTTCTAGATCAAGGGTTTTAGTTAGTCTTATCCTGGTTCTTTGTGGGTTAAAGATGTGAGTAGCCACAAGACTTTCCTCCTAGTCTTTGAACAATGGGTGACAAGGAAGTTAGGTCCAGTGAGGAAGAGAGGCATGGTCTTTTGGAATCTATAAGGAGGGTGGATGTTTTGGGGAAAGTGAGCAAAGTGATATCTACTCTGGGGACGATTTGGCAGACCAGATGTCTCTTGGTGTCATGAGAAGGTGAATAGCTCCTGATACCTTTTTCTGAAAGGAGCTATGAGATCATAATTTCTAAAACAGTTGTGCTTATTAGGTACTTGTCTCTATGTTGAGTATGTAGGGAGGATAAGGCTCTGGCAGCTGATAGAAAATACCTTTCCTTCTTTAAGAGGAAGGAGACAAAGCCATTCTCCTGTATCGGATGCCCAGTGGTCTATCACTGCAACTTGAAGCTGGGTGAGGTTTCACCTCAACTTTATAGTTTATGTGGAATCTTCTCCATATTATAGTCAATATGGACTTCAATTCTCTTCTGAAACTGTTTCCCCATGAAAGGAGCCCTACACTGCATCTCAAAGTCCCTACAAATATTAATGTACCTTAGTCTGTAGATTCAGCCCAAGCCAAATTTACGGTCTTAATATATACTACATTTTTAATAGGTGTCCTTAATCTTATACTCACACAAAAAAGAAACAAACTGTAGGAGAGGTTATGAGAAGTATCCAAGGCCAGAAATGATAACTAGCAAGAGAGAGAGACAGAAAAATGAAAAACAAAACAAAACAAAAAACTGATACAAATCATGTTGTATAATTAATAATTTTTAAAGTTATGGTGAGGACCTTAAGGTCTATAGAAAAGGTTAAAGTCTGGTAAGCAAATAGGATTGAATAATAAAAGAGATTCTGTATTAAATGGTTAAAACTAAAAAGGGTACTTGATGGAATAAAGTTTTAAACCTTGTGAGTTAAACTGTGATTAATAGAGTGGACAGACCATGAAAAATGTCTGCAGTCACATAAAAATCATGTCTACAGTATGAAAAGTTTCTCATCTGCAGAAGACTCTGCCAGATTAGACTTGTAATACAAAATTTATTTACTTAAGGATTTCTAATTTAATTAGGGAGGCATGATATTTATAATTTAATGTTGTACATAATTAGTTTTATACTTTATTTTACAAATGACATGTACCATGGAGTATTATGTGACAAGTTATTGATTAATTTGGATTTGGAAAGTTTAGAGAAATTTATAAAGGAAATTCAGCTTGAGATTGAATGACTGAAGGGGCCAGGACATGGAAAGAGTAAGACCTTCGTGGGGAAGAACAGGGCTTGGTTGTATAATATCTTAGGAAGGGGGTCTGAAATCAGAGGTGATAATTGCTTTGGGATCTTTTAATTATGACCTTCACTATCCAACTAAGAAACTTTAACTCACTAGACAAGATGAAAGCCTCTGTGACATGTGAGTGTTCAGGTGAATGAATGCATAAATGTTTGAATGGGTGATGTGATAATGTCTGAGCCAGAGAGTCAATGTGTGATTAGATGAGTGAGTGAATCAGAGTGAATGTTTTAAGTGAGTGAATTAATGTTGAATAAGTGAGTTAAAGTTGAATGAATAGGTTCCTAGGCACAAATCATGATGCAAAAATAGCAATGAGAATACAGCAATAGATATCCAAGAGAAGGCCACAGATTGGATAATTTGGTTTTAACTCAGATAGCACTTTCTCATAGGAATATTGCAGCATAATATCTGTCTGTAAGGACTTGATGATAAAACATCCTTACAGATCAAATCTTCAGTTAATAAGTATAGTATCAGATTTGTATAGTACTTTATATTTTGAAAACACTTTTCACACAGATGCGTTAAGTTGGTTCTCAGTGGAGTTTTTTCAAAATCCTATTGTGTCTAAATGAATAATGGTTAAATGACTGGGCTGTTGGCCAGGTGTTATGAAGTATTTTAGTTTTAGCACTTTGCAACTTATAAAAACTATGTGGTCAGGGTCAGGAGCTACTTGTTAGGTATTGGTTATACTAAATATCAACAACAATGATCCTACAGCCATATATCTTTCTCTCCCCCATCTCCAGGGAAATCTTTTCCTGGAACACAGAATTTCCACTTGGAGGTTGGCCTCATCATTTTGTCTGTAGTGTTCGCAGTATGCCTTCTAGCCTGCCTATTGGGAGTTGCTCTCCGAAAATTTAAAAGGCGCAATCAAGAACGCCTCAACCCCAGAGATGTTGAATATGGCACCATTGAAGGGCTCATCACCACCAACGTTGGAGACAGCACTTTAGCAGTGAGTTTGGGCTCCAGGGGACCCCTCTTGTGTCAGAGATGGCTGAAGATGCTTTGTCATTTCAAGTATGAAATGCTAAGCAGTTACTGGTGACTGGACCATGTGCACACATACTACTGGTGTCTCATGTTCTAAGCAAGCATATGCTGGCACGCTTATGTGAGTTTAGTCTCCTCTACATGAGAACATTTTAGACAGACCATTGCATTAAATGAGTGAGTGGATTTATTTTAGTTGACTCTTGGTAGTTATTTTTCTTTTGGGAGTGAAGGGACAGGGACAGACAATGGTCACCTGTAATTTTGATGGTGGGAGGGCAGGGTTGGAGTTTACGGTACTCGGTTACTCTATTTTTAGCAATAATAGTGCTTTTAGCAAAAAAAGGCACCCTTTGCCTAATATTAAAAATCACTTTCCTGTTTAGATTATTTTAACACCTTGTAATTTAAGACTTTAAAACCTGACATCCAAAAACGCAGCCATTACGTTTTGTGTGCTCCTACGCTGCCCCCTTGTGGAGGGCACTCATTCGGTTACACCAATGCTGTCCAATGGAAATGCGTGCGGCACGCGTAGTTTAACGTTTTCTAGCTGGCGTTGCTGTTCACTTGCTAAGTTGTGTGTCTGACTCGTTGCGACCCCATGGACTGCAGCACGCCAGGCTTCCCTGTCCTTCACCATCTCCCAGAGTTTGCTCAAACTCATGTCCATTGAGTCAGTGATGCCATCCAACCATCTCATCCTCTGTTGTCCTCTTCTCCTCCTGCCCTCAATCTTTTCCACCATCAGAGTCTTTTCCAATGAATCAGCTCTTGGCCTCAGGTGGCCAGAGTATTGGAGATTCAGCTTCAGCCTCGGTCCTTCCAATGAATAGTCAGGGTTGATTTCCTTCAGGACGGGCTGGTTTGATCTCTTTGCTGTCTTTAAAAAAGTTAAAACAGAAAAACAACCCACAGATGGTATTAATTTTAAGAATATATTTAACATAACATAGTTCACATAATAATTATCATTTCTGTATATAATCATAAAGAATTATTAGTGAGATACTTGGCATCCTTTTTTAAAAAAAGCTTTCGAAATCCGTTGTGTATTTGACACACACGTACAGCAGACAGTGTTCAGATCAGCCACATTTCTCTGGCTCACTGTCAGCCTGTGGCTTACACAGAGTTAGAAACCATTGTATTGGTATGTTTTGAAGTTACTCTTTTTGCACAGTTTAAAATGATGAAATCACATTAAAAAGCGACTGTCTTTTTTCACTTTTCGAAATTGTTTGTCAAGTGTTAATTTTAAAGCACCTTTAAGCTTTAAGTGAGAAAGAGAATCACATGCTATGAATAGGTTATGTCAAGTGCTGAAGGGAAAAGTAATAACATTCTACAGGGGTATTATGCTGAGTCAGATGGTCCCTTTAAGAAAGGCAAAGATCTGTGAATGTGAGAAAGATGTTAAAAGTCATGTTGATACCAAATCGATGCTCTCCTTGTCACTGACTGATGAATTGAAAGATAATCAGGGTGGCAGCATTTAATGTGATTCAATGTTATTTATGCCATGACTATGCATTGCCTAAAACTGTCTTGAATTAAGTCTTGATCTGCTAGATAACAAACCTAAAAGTGACTGCGAGTTCTGCAGTGAAGTGTTTTTGCTGGAGAAGACTTGCTCTCACCAGTCTTGGGAGCTCAAGTGCTAACACCTGGACGACTGCCCTTAGCCAGCTGTGCAGATATTTGATGGTGGCTGATATAGGCTGGGAACTAGCCAGTCCTACTGCCTTCTCCATCGCTGGACCACAGTCAAGTTTTGTATGAAAAAAAGGGGGAAGGAACCTTGTTTAGCTTTCTTCCCCCTACCTATTTAAATTCTGCTACATCAAACTGGAAAGAGAGGGGATAAGGACATTTCATTCAGAAAGTAGAAAAGCAGTTTTTCTTTAGAAGTGTACTTAGAAGTTTATTTCACATTTTAAGGCAAACTAAATGAGTTCTTTGAGTTATTAGCAAGGAAGATGCAAGGTTGAATCCTGACAAAACTTTAGCAAAAAGTATGAGATCGAGTAGTCAGAATTTTGTTTCTTAGAATTGCTAATGTAACTAATCACATTGGGCACTACTGGGAACCTCTAGTCTAAATTACTATCTAAGTGGCTTCTGTAATTCTGAAAGCAGAATGGTAGCATATGCTAAGATAGTTTTCTCCACTCAGCCATGTTAAAGGACAGTATATCACGATATGACATAGTAAACAACACTGTTTAAAACAAGTCATCATTATTGGTTTACAGACATGCTTATTTAAGTGATATTCTCATTTATATGACTCAGCAATGTCTACCTTACTAAATAGCTCCCCTGCACTGAAAAAGAAGCCTTGGCATCCAAGAGTTGAAGTAGTGTTTGTTAGTCTTCGGTTGATATTTCTTTTTCCCCCCTGTCCTGAAGTCTATGAACTAGGTTTAGAACCAGGACTGCACATTATTTTTAAAAAACACAGTTTAATTTTCAAAATTATTCTCTCAAAAAAATGGATGAATAAAGAGAAAAGTTAACAGCAAAATAGATAGTTAGGGAGATGTGAAACTACTTCATCTATATTCAATTTCTTGCTGATTATCTATTTTATGGCTTTTAAGAATTCTAAATTTCTTTCTTTGGACGTTCAGATTTTGGTAATTTTGCTGATCAACAGTATTTCAGAGTGGCGCTCAGAGTCAGTAAAAGATGATGAAATTTGAACAAAGAAATGTATTCCTTCAACAGGCCAGCTACAATGTTTGGGAAAGGAGCAGCTTTGGGGACTGTCAGCTCAACACTGCTGTAACATTACCACAATCACCATAGGCGCAGTATTGTTTATGATAGAAAATCCACTCCTGATTCAAAAAGGCATCTGCTTCTTGGCTTGCACTGAGAGTAAGAATGGAAAATTTATGAATGAACTAATTGGGAATCTTTTTTGCAGTGTGTTCATTTTTAGAAGTAGATTTGAAGGGAAGGGAAGTGAAAGCCGCTCAGTCGTGTCTGATTCTTTGCGACCCCATGGACTACAAAGCCCATGGAATTCTCCAGGCCAGAATACTGGGCTGGGTAGCCTTTCCCTTCTCCAGAAGATCTTCCCAACCCAGGGATCTCTCCCACTTTGCGGGCAGATTCTTTACCAGATGAGCCACAAGGGAAGCCCAGAAGCAGATTTGGGGTATAGTTGTATGTTTTAATGGAAGTTATATTTCTTTCTCTCTCTGCTTTGTGGGTAATTGACATCAGGAATGACATACAGTATATGAAATCATGTGTGAGAAACTTTTGAAAATTGTAAAGCACTATAGAATTTAAAGAATCTTTCCTCATTTAAAAATTTTAAGAGTAGACAACTATTTTTTTAAAAAGGAAATGACATAGAGGTATTAATTTCGTGACTCTTGTTCCTTGCCTACCTTAAAGGTAACCTGCATCCTGATCATTCTCTCTGCTCGAGTGGACCAATTTGAGGATGCACACGGCCACTGCATTAGAGTTGCTTGTTCCCCATTCCTAATTCGTTCGTTCCTTGTTAGAGTTCCTTAGCTGGCATGTCAATTAATGTACATCCCTTGATAGATACCATGAGCAGGGCAGAGTAGGGTTGTCAACTGTGCTCAGCTTTTGGGCTTGAAAGCCTTTTATTTTTGCTCCACTTTCTGTCTAGTGCTTTCCTTTGGGCTCAGCCCTGTATTTTGGGCTTTTTAATTTACATCTTTGACTTGGTCCACTCATTTTCTTTCTTCAGCTATTTTATTCTAAAACTCTGGGTACAAGAAAAGATCCCTCAGGGAAACCGATCCCAGATTAGGGAAGGGGCTGGCTTCAGGTTTTCCTAAGGAATAAGATCAGTCCTTCATCCAGTGGGGCTTTCCATGCACCCGGACGGGCCACGTTTCCAGGATCGCAGCCTCCATGCAAGTTACACCCGGATGCATGCTCTGACCTGGAAGCGGTTCCTCAACCCTTTCTCTTTCTCCTTGTTTTGAACTACAGGATTTATTGGATCATTCGTGTACATCGGGAAGCGGCTCTGGTCTTCCTTTTCTGGTACAGAGAACAGTGGCCCGTCAGATTACACTGCTGGAGTGTGTTGGTAATTCTCTTTTCCCTTTCTTTGTGGGGTCTGTGCAGTGTTCACTGTGGTTCTAGAAGCATATGGACCTTGGAAAATCTGCTTCTTCTTGTTCCTTGCTTGTTAAATGTCAGGAGGTGTGAGATAGCCCTGTGGAGTAGCTATGCTTCTAATCTGTGACTTGTGTTGGAGCACTTGAACTTGGTAAAGTTCTTTTCAAAGGAGTCTGCCACTAGTTAGTATAGAAAATACCTAGTCAAAGGCTTTCAGTTTTAACGAAACCCTTCACGATATTGGGACTGCTTGAAAATGAACTAATATGCCTGCTCCTGACCAAAGATAGGCATTGGTGAATCTGAGGTAAGTTGATTTTTGGACAATAATCTTGACTATTGTAATTTTTTACTTTCTCATTCTTCCCCCTTAAAAAAAAATGAAATAAACTTGCTAAAGCTACCCTTATAGCTCCTTTATTTAAAGGAGTTATGTACATTTCTCTATGGCTTCTCACATTTTTTTTTTCCTGTATCAGAATATATTTGTGTAGAGATGTAATCATAGTGTGTATGTAATGTGTCCCTGTTTTCAGTTTTAAGCTCATACACATTTTCATGTGTTTGTACACATCACAGGTATCTGAGTGGCTGTGTAATTGTCTATTGAGTAATAACTTAAACAATACTTTAAAAAAAATTGGCTCACATTGCTTCTTTTGAGTGAGTAGCATAAACTTCCAGGAATTGGGGTTCCTGGGTCAAATTTTTTAGCTGTTTATGGCTTGTCTTTATATATTGCTGAATTGTCCTCTTGGAAGATGGCGCAGTATGCTTTTTTTTTTTTAAAGTCCTGATTTTTGGGTATTTGCGAGTCACATGACAGTTCAGTAATTTCTCCTTTAGATGGCATACAGGGATGGCCACAGTAGCAGTAATGGATTAGAACCATCTCCACACTCTCCTCCTAGTTCTCCCAGTTTGAGAGGCATGAGCTGGCTTTGCAGCTCTCGCCATCTCATTTTTTTGTTTTTGGGAGGTGACTGGCCATCATAGGCTGCTTCTACCCTCCGACTTTTCTTCCTGTTTTCATGGGAGCCAGGACATCCCCAATTACAGCAGTGGAAGGCAGGTGGGCAGAGGTGGTAAAAACAGCGACTGCCGCCTGCAGGTACACCGGCTACTGGCAGGAGCCTGTGGCCTCTTCTCTAGGTCTGCAGCTACTGTGAGTGTTTCTGAACTCCCACTTCATGCTTCTCCACGGTGGACTTTGAGTAGGGAAAATATTAATAAAAGTGGAAAAGCTCCCAACATGCTCACTGCTTACAACCAAGGTAGTCTTCTTATACCAGCTAACATCCTATTTGATCATGAACAAGGGTGACTAGATTGGGATCAGAAGGCAGTGAAGGGGGACATTAACCCCACCCTGCTGTGCCATGGAAACTCACCATTCATGCAACAGCAGCCCTCAGGGGTGGACCCCAGAGTCCAGAGGACAAAATAATATTGCATCTTTAAAAATGCGTACTGTTTGTGGTTGTATAGATATTATTCAACATTTTTTAAAATAGTTCAAATTCATCATTTTACTCCTTAATGCTAAAGAGCCATGCATTTCAGTAGCTTCCAGTATTCATGTAGTACAGCCTTGGATAAAAATATATGTTATGAACTGTTTGGATAGTATCTTACCATTTTTGGCTCAAAAATATAGGGAATTGGACTAGATCAGTTTTTTCAGGTGGGATCGGTGCACCTCTGAATTTCAGGTGTTAAAGCGTCCTCTTTTGCTTCTCCACGGCCAGGACTGAGGCAGCTCTGCTTCTCTTTTCAGGAACTTATGCATAGGCTGCATCTGCAAAAAGCATTTGACAACTTAAAAGCCTTTGAAAAGTACTGAAGTAGCTTTCTGTTTCAGTTCTGTCCACTTACGCTGACATCTGTCTCTGTTTCCTTTGTAAAAAGGATTTGAGGCAACTATATAGTAATGTCCACAATGCTCTGGGGTATTTTTCTCTCCTTCCTAATGAGAATATGAGGACAAAGGGCTAATAAAGATACAGAATGGAACCAGAGGCAGGAGAAGATTAGTGTTCCATTTTGTAGCAGTCCATGCTATAGATCTTAGCACTGGTCTTCATCTTAAACTACAAATGCTGGACAATTGCCATGACTTTATTCAAATTAATCCTGCAGCCAGTACGATTTTTGTGACTTGACAGTGGCCCACAGAGACCCTTCCTGGGTTCATTTAATGCCCTTTGGATTGGTCATTGGTATTTAGTAGGGAGACACTGCTTGTCATAAGGGAATCTAGATTGAACAGTTTTGATTATGCTTCAGGACATAATCTTCTGGACAGACATGCTTTCCTTCTCCATGTTTGGGTTCTCGGCGGCTTAGTTCTCCAGCAAAGAGTTGTATTCCTGCATATGCATATATTCCTGTATGTGGTCGTTACCAGCTGAGATTACCATCAGCCACCAGCCTTGGTGGAAGGCCCCACTGCTCTGCAAGTCGGATCTCCTGCTGTATTGTGTTCTACGTTACGCATCTGTCTTCACCTTTGATTATACCCTGTGATGATCCCCATTGTCTCATGGTAATTCCCTCCTCCAACTAACCTCCCTGATCACCTACCTGTGATTAAGGAGAAGAGTGGAAGCAGGAGCATGTTGTTAAGCCGCCCCTTGTGCCAGGACTGTACTCCATGGATCAAATCACAGCTGGTCACCGTGCTTTGAAAATGTCTTCTCCAAGTGGCCTTTCCAGTGTCGCCCACTTGTGGCATCACAGGGAGTCTCACAAGGGAACACCCATAACCAGTGTCAGAAATCGGGACTGTTCTGGGATTACATGTTTCAGACTTTGCAGATCCTCTTTGGAAATATATCCTCTGCCAGGAAATCCTTTACGGATGGCAGTGGATGCCCATCTATTTCCTACACCAGTATTGTTCTGTTTGTGTGTGTATGTGTGTTAATCCTTCAGAGCACACATCTCAAACTTCATATTCTCCTTTGTGAAAAATATAAAGGCCTATGTAAATTCACCAATTTGGACTCTTAGAAAATGCCTGTGTTGATCCATTATGATGGGGAGGAATCACATAAGCTATTCAGTTTAGCCACATACATGTTTCTTGGATTTCATCAACACTGAAGTCTAATAATCTATACTATTTTCTGTCTTACTAATTTTCATGTGCTTTTACAAACCATATGCGTTTCATACCTTTTAAGAGAGGGATGTAAATGTAAGCTCTGTAACTAGCAGCTCATTGTATGAATGCAGGTTCTGAGAGTGTTTAATGTGATGTCACAATAGGGTGGCTGGGAGGGGCAGTTTCCACCTTGCTTTTGGATGTCTTTACAAGCAAGAGGTAGTAGTATTTATTGGGTTGGTCATAACATGTTACAGAAAAACCCGGATGAACTTTCTGGCCAACGCAGTATATTCCCTAGTGGTATTTTTCCAAGGGAGGGGTTGAGAGTTGCGGGCACAGTGTTAATTGGTGACCTGTCCTCTCCTCCTCCCAGCATCACCTCTGTGCTGTTTTCCACAGGGAAGGGCAGGTATGGTGAGGTGTGGAGGGGCAGTTGGCAAGGGGAAAATGTCGCTGTGAAGATCTTTTCCTCCCGGGATGAGAAGTCGTGGTTTAGGGAAACAGAATTGTACAACACTGTGATGCTGAGGCATGAAAATATCTTAGGTAAGTACACAATCCCCTCATCAATTTTTTTCTAGAAAGAATTAATTGCCTGCCTTTGCCCTTTCTGATTGGGTGTGTGTGAATATGCAAGTCTCTCCTGAATGGTGACATAGGGACCGTCAGCATTTATATACACTGTTGAATTTTCTTTTCACACCAATCTCTTGTTTAAATCTGCAGAGGAGCTAAGTTTGAAGATTCTCTGGATGATGAAAAGGAAATTGTTATTGCTAAGTCTTCCTCTGCAGGTTGTTATTTAAATAACAAAAATTTGCCCCATATTGTTCACTTCAAGGCTTCCTCCGTAGTTCTGCTTACCCCACCCTTTTTGAATATTTATTACTTGAATCAAGCTAAGAAAGATCTTTGGACGATTTCCTAGAGATTCATAGCTCCCAGGGACATCATAATTAAATGCACATTCCTTCAAACAAGGCATTGCTTTTTAAAGCCCAGATTTAGAGAGGGATTTAGCATACATTTTAATTTGGAAACTAAAGCTTGGAAACATTTGTGAAACATGTGAAGAGCTGATTGAAATACTGCTATGGAAGTATAAAGGGTTAGAATATTTCTTTAGTCCATCGACCTCTTTTTGAAGTTTCTCTAAATGTGTTTATACTAATACCTGTGCGAGGAATGCTGCCTGGAGTGCTTCTTTAAGCGTGGATGTAAAGTTTCTATAGAATTTGACTCTTTATTATAGGATAGTGTTGGCTACGTCATGGCTATTGGATTGGGTTTGGCTTATAGGTAGATTGTTGCCAGAATTCATTTCTATTCCAGTACTGCCAGTGTAGTATTTGCCAGTATATTAATGAAGCCTGAGTCAAGTTGTATGCAAATCATGGTATGAAAGTTGTTCAAAGCTTGACTCTTAACAGTTTGATGGTATGTTCCATCTCAGAACAGTCTCAGTTTCTGGTGTCCTTCCTTCCCCTTCCCCTCCCCGCTGGGCCCCGGGCATCACCTAGTTCTCCTCACTGGTGTCAGTGCTGTTGGTCTTGCCTTTCCAGTCCATCTTGTGATACTAAGTTATCTTCCACTGGGGAGCTGAGACGCTCCTGCTCAAAATGTCTTTGACTTTCATACTGCTTGCAGCATGTGTGACGTCTGAGCCTGGCATTCCAGGTGCTCTATTTTGAGGTCTCAAGGAGTCTCTGCTGCTTCCTCTATACACATGCCCACATGCAGCCACTTCCGATATTTGTTATTCCTTGGTATTGTCCATGCCTTCATCATGTGGCTCCTGCTCATCCACTATCCCCATACCCCCGCTCCAGCCACCCTTTCTTGCATCAAAACTTCTCAGTTCCCTTCCAGACTCTCCCAAGGGATCTACCTGTACCCTTCTGCCCTCCGGTATTTCGTACCTGCACTATGTAACTCTTGTCATAAACTGCCTTATGTTGTAGTTTGTGTGTGTAACAGCAGTGATGATCAGTTACCAAGGAGTAAGCACTGCTGCCTGTCATGTCCATTTTATCATTAATCTTCACCGTGACTGTAGAAGGGTAGATACTCCCGTTTTCCTGGTTGTAACTGATAAGGTTTTTGTTTTTACACCCAGTCCTGGGGACAGTTCCCTGCACGTGGTAGGTGCTCAGTAAATATTGATTAAATTGGATTTAATCACTCAGGAAATTTGAAAGTCACCTTTGCAATACAATTCATGGGAGAGAAGTTAGGGTCCCTCAGTGTGATCACAGAAGGCAAACCACTGTCCACTTCTTGTTAACTAATGATCCTCGGAAATTCTGAATTCATGAGATCTTGTACCCTCATCACAATAACAGCTGTGTGGATTCATTTTACTGTGTAGTCAGTCCTTTTAGTTGAGAAGGCACATAGAACATGTGCCACCTTTTTCAGTTTAACTTCTTCTTTAGCAGCTTTTTGGATGGAGAGGCTTGGAGGTTTTCTGTGATCATTTTCTTTTCTATCAGAAGAGCATATTGTCTTGAATATGAGATCATGATTTCCCCCACCCCTGAGTACTGCCAACTCTAGCCCCCAAGAAATACATAATTATACACACACATACACAGTTCTGGGCCTTCATTGGTTATCTCCCTAAAACAATCAACACTTTCTTCTGCTTTGTCTGGTGTAGAAGTCAGCAGGTAAGTGAATGATGGGAGGCTGTGTTATGGTGTTTGGAACAGTGTCTGGGAGTTTGGGAAGCTGGTTTCTACTCTCACATAATTAGAGGCCCACAATGTGACTCTGGGCCAGAGTTGTATGTTTCCTAGCATCCTTTTCCTTATCACTACAACCAGGGAGATTGAGTTAATGTGAGAATTTCGGTCCAAAAACTTTTTTTTTGCCAAGCTACACAGCTTTTGGGATGTTCACCAACCAGGGATTGAACCCTGTGTGGTAGGTGAAAACACTGTGTCCTAATAAACCACTGGATCACCAGGGAATTCCTGTCATCTTACACTCTTTTTTTTTTTTAAATTATGGTACACATGATATCACTTACTTGTGAAATCTAAAATATGACATGAGCTTATCTATAAAACACACACAGACTCACAGATGTAGAGAACAGACTGTGGTGGTGGGGGGTGGGGGGTGGTGGAGGGGGAAGTATTGGGCGTTTGGGACTAGCAGATGCAAACTTATATATAGAATGGGTAAACAACAAGGTCCTACTCTATAGCATAGGGAACTATATTCAATATCCTGTGATAAACAGTGATGGAGAAGAATATGAAAAAGAATGTGTGTATATATGTATAACTGAATCACTGTGTTGTATAGCAGAAATTAACATGACATTGTACATCAACTATCCTTCAGTAAAATAAATTTTTAAAAGATTATAGCACCAAAAAATTATGGTACAGTGTCTATTAAGTTGACCATTTTAATCATGTGAGGTTTAAACACATTCATATTGTGCAACCATTACACTCTCCATCTGTAGAAGTGTCTCATACTCTTAAAAGGTATTGATTCACCATTTAATGTCAGAATTTTTTGAGATCAGTTGGAAGGAAACTCCATAAAAGATACTAAATTACAAAATTGGGGGTTGTAACTGAACCCTGAGCTATTTTGAGCTATGAGTAACCAACTACACTTGAATACTTACTGTGTGGTAGGCATCTTACCAAGTATTTTACCTGTACTAATTCTTTTATTCTCACAGTAACCCTTTGAAGTATAGGACGGTGCTATTCATATCTTACAAATGAGGAAACCAAGGTGGTGATTTTCTTTATATTTTATATACTCTTTAAAAATTTTTTCTTTTAAATTTTTAATTGGAGGATAATCACTTTACCATGTTGTATGGTCTCTGATGTACAACAGTGTCAGTCAGCCCTAAGTATGCATGTGTCCCCTCCCTGTTGAGCCTCTCTCCCAGCCCCCAAGGTGGTGATTTTACGTGACAGAGGTGGGATCACCCAGCTCAGGATGGTGAGCCATGTGAATGCCCAGCACTGCGGCTCAGGAGCCTAACACTCTCAAACCCTACGCTCCACGGCATGCCGACCTCACTCGTCCACGGTCAGATCGGCCACTCAAGAGGCTCACAAGGGTACTGCTTACCTCACTTAAGATTTGGGTTTTATTTTAGTTCTTGAGGAGCCTGGGAAGATGACTTTGGCTGTTCTGAAAGAGGCGTTTACTCTAATCACTTTTTCTCTGTGTTATGAACACATCCAATGGTTGGGCCAGACTTCCAACTTATGGGCACCTGTTCAGTCTCCACTAACAGTAGAGGCTTTGACTCAATCTGCAAATGTCCCATAAAAATGCTCTAGCATGTTGAAGCAAATGTAGTTACAAATTCAGACTTGAGTGGTAAACAGCTTTTAAAAATCCTACTTATTTGAAAGTCATTTTTCTTGAAGGTCTAAAGCATAATTAAGGGCCAGAAAAAATCCCTTTCTAAGAACTTGGGGACTTAGAGAAGGTGAGAGAATGAATCTTATTTACTTATTTATTTATTTAATCACTCAATCAATCAGATGCTGTGTCCCTTGGCCAAAGGAATCAATAAAGGCTACACAAATTTATCGCAGTGATTTAATTTCTTTTGAGTGGTGCTTCTATAGTTTGGGATACTCATTTTTGAGAAAGTCATTAAAGATGGATATCATGTGGTATAAAATGATCAAGCAGAAACGTTTAAAAATTGAAGTATAGTTGATTTACAATGTTGCATTCATTTCTGCTGTACAACAAAGTGATCCAGTTATATATATATACACATTCTTTTATGTGTTCTTTTCTGTTATAGTTTAATCTCAGGATATTGAACGTCATTCCCTGGGCTATACAATAGGATATTCCTTGATGGCTCAGTGGGTAAAGAATCTGCCAGCAATGCAAGAGACACAATAGACGTGGGTTAGATTTCTGGGTCTGGAAGATCCCCTGGAGGAGGAAATGGCAACCCACTCCAGTATTCTTGCCTGGCAAATCCCACGGACCAAGGAGCCTGGCAGGCTACAGTCCACGGGGTCACAAAGACTCAGACACAGCTGAGCGACGAAGCACCCACACAACTGTACAATAGGACCTTGTTGCAGCAGAAATATTTTCTTTTGCAAGAATAACTAACATCTAAATGCACGTTTTGATTTATGTTATGGTCAGCTAAGGGTGCCAAGAGCATCGGCGATGGGGACACAAAGATAGGCTGGAGAAGAGTGAGAGACTAAGGCTGGCTGTGGGGACCACCTTAGAGGAAGAGGGAGAAGGATGAAGATTCAAGGTGTAGAAGTGTTGTTCAGTTCACTTTACAGATGTCCCATGGGTACAGATGTCAGGATTGTCTTTCTCTGAGTAGAAGCCAGCTTGTCTGAAGGCACGATGAATTGGTAGGGAAGAGTCTGGGTTCTAGAGCCAGACTGCTGGCTGGCTTACTGATGTGGATGTCAGTGACCTTAATGTCAGTGACATCACTGACCTTAGTGTCGGTAACTTTAATGTTAGTGATGTAATCCATCCTGTTCATGTGGTTGTTGGAGGGTTGCACATGGGGTGTTTAAACCTGTGTCTGGCACACTGCTGCTGCTGCTAAGTCACATCAGTCGTGTCCAATTCTGTGCGACCCCCAAGATGGCAGCCCACCAGGCTCCCGTCCCTGGGGTTCTCCAGGCAAGAACACTGGAGTGGGTTGCCATTTCCTTCTCCAGTGCATGAAAGTGAAAAGTGAAAGTGAAGTCGCTCAGTTGTATCCGACTCTTAGCGACCCCATGGACTGCAGCCTACCAGGCTCCTCCATCCATGGGATTTTCCAGGCAGAGTACTGGAGTGGGGTGCGAATGCCGTCTCCGCTGGCACATTGCTAGTTCTCACTAATTAGTAACAGCTTCTGTTGATGATGATCAAATTAGGTACCTTTCTCTGTTCCCAGCACTTTCTTACGCAAGGTATGGTGCATCAGGGCAGCTAGCATCAAACTTGGAGTTAGTAGCAACTTCATAGCCATGTGATCCTTGGCACCTCCCAGCAGCAACTCAATTATTTGTAAAATGAGTATAATGATATTTATCCTACTGGTCTGTTGAGAAAAATCCTAATTTGTGAAAATGTTATAAAAATCAAAATCTGTGAAAGTGTTACAAATTTGATATAAAGTACTTTATATAAAGCATTTTAATGTGTTTTCCTTTTCTTTCATACTTTCACACGTCATTTAATTCCTCGTCTTATCTGTCTTTAAAAAAAACAAATCTCCTTATATTTCTAAGTTGTAAATTTCACTCTCTGTCATGTATGTTCATAAGGCATAGATCTATAATGCTAGGAAAGCATCTCTGTAGCAGAAAAGACAGGTTCACTATTTCATATGTTCAGAAGTGCCTCTGACTTCAGGTTCCTTCAGTGTGCTGAAAAGTCCCCTCAGAATGTCTAGAAAAGCTTCTTCCTTCCTCTGTATCTACATCTTTCAATATCTCACTTCTTTTTTAAAAATTTTATTGAAGTATAGTTGACTTATGGTATCATATTAATTTCTGCTTTACAGCACAGTGACTCAGTTATACATATATATATATATGTATATAAATTTCCATATTCTTTTCTATTATGGTTTATCACAGGATGAGTATCTCACACTTCTTTTCAAGACAAGTAATCACTTCTTGATGGAAGCCTACCATAACATCTAGTCTGAGTTATTCTGATTCCCTGCTCTGGGCTCCTGTTGTCCTTTGCACATATTAGTATACAATAAGGCTGTTCTCACATTATACTGTAATTTTTCCTTTTCAAATCTCTGTTTTCTAGCCTACAAATACCATCATCTTGATTGTTCTGTGTGACTGACAAAGAGGATGCTTGTTATATTTGATAGATTCCTTTTTAAATTTAATGAATCAGTCAGTTATTTAATATAAACTCACCCCTTGATTTTACAGCAGAGACAATCCAAAGAGCCCAAGTGAGTTGTCCAATATTACACAGCAGATCACAGGCAGATGGGAGACTAGAACACAGGTGTCTTAGGTTCTAGGTTTTGTGTTCTCTCTGGGTGGACGATGAATGATCTGTGCTTGGAATGCCAGCACGATGAAGGGTTTGACACTCTCATTGTGGGTAAGCACAAAGATATTATTCCCGTCTGAATCTTCATGCAATGTAAAATACTTTTAAAAGGTAAAAAAAAAGTTTTAAAGGATTATTTACAGTGGAAATGAATATGAAAATTTCCTATTCATGAGCAATGCCTTTTGAATGCATTAATAAGCACGTTCTGTTTCTCTGCTGACGCCTTTGTAAACCTTCTTTCATGGTAGTTGATGAGTAATCATTTTTGTCATGGGTGATCTCTACTCTATGGGTCACTGTTTCTGTGCACTAAAGCCGTAATGTGGGATTCTCACTTGTCTGTTAATCTCTGTCATTGCGCCCTCCAGGCTTCATTGCTTCGGACATGACATCAAGACACTCCAGCACGCAGCTGTGGTTGATCACACATTACCATGAGATGGGGTCGTTGTACGACTACCTTCAGCTCACTACTCTGGATACCGTGAGCTGCCTGAGGACAGTGCTGTCCATAGCAAGCGGTCTCGCACATTTGCACATAGAGATCTTTGGGACCCAAGGGAAACCAGCCATTGCTCACCGAGACTTAAAAAGCAAAAACATCCTGGTTAAGAAGAACGGACAGTGTTGCATAGCAGATTTGGGTAAATCTTTTTTAAGTATTTTTTAATTTACTGTTTTCACTTTTGTCATGTTCCCGTTTAGCTGGGTTGCATCTTTTTCTCTCCTAACAGTTACGGAAAATTTCAAGAATGCAAATTGAAATGGCTTCATGGTGAACACCTGTATATCTACCACCTAGATTCTCCCATGAACATTTTACTGTTATCACATATCCAGCCTCCTGTTTATCAGTACACCTCAATCTCTGGTACATTTCAAAGTCAACACAGACAAAAGAGCCCTTCCTTCCAGTGGCTTCAGCATACTCACCACTGTATCAGTCACTGGGAGTTTTTACTTTTTTCTTTTCAGGTAAAATTTACATTTCACATTAATTGCACAGATCTTAACTCTCAAGAGTTTTGACAGAAGCTGTAAAGTCCAAATCCCTGTCAAGATACAGACCTTTCTGTTACCCTAGAAAGTCAGTTTGGGCTGGTTTAGTTTGTTCCTGCCCCAACTCACCCTGAGAGGCAGCCACTACTGGTGCTTTCTGATTTCACAAGCCTTTATAGAAAGTAGGTACACACATGTAAATCCAGAGCTGATTCATATCAATATATGGCAAAAACCACTACAATATTGTAAAGTAATTACCCTCCAACTAATATACATAAATAGAAAAAAAAAAGAAAGTAGGTACACAGTTAAATAACCTGTGGAATGAGTTTATCTTTAAAATGGTATCTAAAGTTGTTCTTCTGTAACCAACGCAAAATTATATAAAGCAAAGGCGGCAGCGGGGGAATCTCCAAACCAATTTACTATTTGCTCTGCTGAGATATCTCAGTCTTAGGTGGTAGAGTGATGCTTAATGTAGCTTTAATTGCATTATAAATAAGATTATTTTCATTTAGAGTGGCATTCTATATAAAACCTACTTACCCTAGACCCGTAGAATATTGGCTGAATGATAGGCTAATGAGAATTGAATTGTAATACTGGGTCTTCATTTCAGTGGACTATTGGGGATGCCCACTCTACTTGGATAAAAAATGTGTATCGTATTTTCGTATCATTGTAGGTCTTATAGGTACGCTAATAAAGGTTTAGGCAGTATGAGCTCTAATTATATAAATGACAAAATTGTTATTAAACACAAAGTATCTGACATATCAGAAAATTTTCTTTCTTTTGAATCCCTTTAAAATCCATGTGTTCATGTTGAGAAATTATTTTACAGTGTTTTCCAAGTATGGGAAGACATGACACATTTTTGTTGTGGCAAGCTGTGGTGTAGAAGACTGTTACTGCTATGCAAGGAGTTAGGAAGCTAAGGTGATGCGTGTTTCCCAGTTATTGAGCAGGATTTTTGTGCAGGTCCTTGCATCTGTTTATCTGCCCTAATTGCTGACCTGCTTATACTGAGTGCAAGAGTGGGGAGCTTAGCAAGGGGGACTTCAGTGTTTGATACTGTGCCTTGTACTTCTCTGTTGTTTGAAACTTTTATAATAGTGTGTTCATGTATTAATTCATGTTACTGAAAGTCAATTATGCCTCATGTGATTCTTGTGTAAGATTCAGAAATTTTATAAATGCTTTGCAAATAATCACTTAAATGGTAGATGCTGTTATAGTCCAGAGGCCAAGGGAAGATGGCCAGACTGAGGCAGCTGTTGGTTTCGGTTTATGGGACTTGGAGGAAATTTGCAGCAAACCCAACTGATTAATTAATTAATTACATTTATTTTGGCCTACAGCCCTCCAACTGGATTCATGGTTTCAAACACAACTTTGTGTTTTAAGGGGTCATTGTTCAGGGAAGTAGATCAGTAGTACAGGAGATAGTTCCTATGCGACCACAATTTATATTAGCTTTTTTACTTTATACCTAGAAATTAAGAGTCACTATTATGTTGTTATTAATATTGCAAAACTACCAGTATTTTAGCAAAAATACCAGTATTGTATTTTCCTAACTTTTGATTATAAAAAAATTCAAACATAAAGACTGAAAAAATAGTTTGATGATCATTCATATTGACAACACCTAGATTCAACAGTTACTAAAATTTTGCCAAATTTCCTTTATCTATATGTGGCTCAGTGTATATATTTGCAAATTCATTAGAAAATAAACTGTAGACGTCACAACTCTTTACTCCTCAATGCTTCAAAATGCACCCCCTAGAAATACTTTTCTTCCATAATCATACTTTATCACACCTAAAAGTTACTGATTATTCTTTAATATCATTTAATATCCATCTTCAAGTTTTTCCAGTTTTTTTGAAATAGGAATTGAGGCACATTTCATTTGGTTGGTTTGTCTGTTTAGTTAGTTGTAATTACTGATTATTGGGAAACAAATTACCTCTAAAACTTAGCAGTTTAGAAGAACACAAATTTATTCTCTCTCACAGTCAGTCAGCAGTCCCAGAACAGCTCGGGTCTATGGTTCTGTCTCAGGATCTTAGAGGGGTAACAGTCATGCCGTCAGTAAGGGCTGCAGGCGTCTGAAGGCTTGCTTGGGGCTGGAGGGAACCCCAGGACGGCTCACTCTCATGGCCGCTCACTCACATGACATGTCCAGTTCCTTATCATATGGTCCTGTTCACTGGGCTACTGGAGTATCCTCCAGCACTGTGAATGACCCCAGAGAGCAAACAGGAAAACATGTGCCTTCTATGTCCTGATCTTGAAAATCACACACACTTTTCTGCCATGTTGTCTTTGATGGTCCAGCCCACGCTCAACGCATGGGGAATTGAGTTTCCCTCTTTAAGGGAGAAGTTTCAAAACACTCATGGATATATTTTTAAACCACCACAGCTAGCATCTCTATGCTTATTTAAACTGCACTTGTTTTGTATTCTGTTACCTTGACTATTTGGTTCTGGAAATGGTGGAGGGGCATATATGATTTGGGAAATGTCCATAGTCCAATTCCATAGGAAATGTGGAATCTTAGGATTGATTATAAAATTAAGGGAAAGAGGAACCAGTCTGATTGAGTCAAATGCAGTTGCCAGTGTCTCTGGGAATTATTAAGGCTGAGATGACATGCATGCTATCTCCCTTCTTTACATGGAGTTGTCATCCCACCCATTCAGAGCCATGGACTGGGTGGAGAAGCATCCTCCACAGATGACCTGAGGGATCCCCACTGGGATACAAACATTTACACAGCCTGCTAACTCCACTCTGGCAATTTTCATTATTCTCAATGTCAGAGAAATCATTTTCAGTTGGTCTGCCCATGCATCAAAAATTCCATTCTCAAATAAACCATGTATCTGTCCCTTGGCCTGTGAGGAATGTGGGTCTCTTTAACTGGCTGAGGAGTTCTGAAATGAGCCATGGCTTAAGACAGTGCTTCGAAACCATTTAACATGAGAGCCGGGCTCTGAATCTGGGCTCAGCTTAGTGTTCTCTGGCTGTACGTGTGGCGGTGGAGAAAAAAGCCTGTGGGTTTGGTCCCGGCTACGTTCAGATGGAGCTTCCCGGGTGGCTCAGTACTAAAGAATCCACCTGTCAATTCAGGAGACCCCGGTTTGATCCCTGGGTTGGGAAGCTCCCCTGGAGAAGGAAATGGCAACCCACTCCAGGATTCTTGCCTGGAGAATCCCATGGGCAGAGGAGCCTGGCGAGGTACAGTCTATGGGGTCGCAAAGAGTCGGACATGAATGAGCGACTGAACAGTATCAATTGTTCAAATGAGCGGTCCTTCTTTAGGGACGGAGCAGTCACCTCTTTGTGTAGTGATGAATTAACTCAAAGTCCCTTCTTCAAAGGGTCTGAAGTTTGGAGACCAGCGGGAGTTGTACTGGAGCTTGAGAGCTTAATTTGCTCCTCGTTAAGTCATTTTGAGGCTCCCATTTAACAAGTGAGTCTGTTTTCTTGTGGCTTTTGAACACCAGCTTCATATTGGTTTGGTGTATTATTGACTCAAAACTTTTTGTCTCTGAGGTTCCTATATTAACCTATTACACCCAGGATGTTTCTGGCATCAGCCCTACTTCCTACTTTCACCTAAGTCATCACAACAGCACTCCAGGGATGACTGGGGGTGGTGGGGGTGGGAGATGTCGCAGTCACCTTGGGCGCCACAAGAGGGCGCTGTTGACTGGGGTTGGTTTGAAAGCCTTCCGCAACCCTCTGTGAGAAAGGGAGTGGGTTGACCCTGTTGTCTTCTTCCTTTTAGGCCTGGCAGTCATGCATTCCCAGAGCACCAATCAGCTCGATGTGGGGAACAACCCCCGTGTGGGCACCAAACGCTACATGGCCCCTGAAGTTCTCGATGAAACTATCCAGGTGGATTGTTTTGACTCTTACAAGAGAGTCGATATTTGGGCCTTTGGACTTGTCTTGTGGGAGGTGGCCAGGCGGATGGTGAGCAATGGTAGGTAACTGATCTCATATGATGTTTTCCTTGTCTGAGTCCTCTTGATCCTGCTACCTTTAAAACGGCAAAGGGAATATTACGTCCACATGGTTCCATGAATCGTATTTGTGAAGCTGTCGACATTTATATTTGATTTATGGCTGGTCGGTGGAAGGCGCATAAGGGCAGTCTGTTTTAACTGCATAAAAGGAGATGGTGGTAGGAAAAGTATTTCTGCAAGAGACTACGTGTTCCTTGATTGCTGGTAGTTTTCCTTCAGTCCGTATTTTTCTTCTTTCCTCCATCCTCATGGTTCTGTCTTTCTCCCATCCTTCCTGCTCCTCTGCTCTTTTCCCAAGTGATTATCATGAGGAGAATGCTCAAGTAAATCTAAGGGTGAATCTTGCTATTGTAGATATGTTTACTTCTCAAGTTTGGATTATTGAGAAGAGACTCAGGTTGCACACTAGGAATTCACTCCTTTGTACAAAGCAGGCTGTACTTGCTGAATAAGTGAAGTTTACATTCAGGAAGCTCTGAAGAGGAGGCTCGTGCTGGTCCTCGTATAAGGAAGTTTCATGAAATGGTGGTGTTTGCCTTAGCCACTAGGGAAGCACATATTTGTCGATAATTCTTAACCTATATTCCCTACCATAACCTTTCACCTCCATATTTCTTATCAGCCAAAAATACAAAAAATGCACTGTTGAACTTTAAGTTTACTTTAGTAAACTTAAATTATTGCATTCTGGAGGCAATACCTATTCTCATTTAAAAAAAAACATGTGCCTCATCTACCCACAAAGCGGGTATCAGAGCAGCATCTCTTGAATCCACTAAATCGACCTCTTCACACCTTCACAACTGGAAGTCTTACTTCACAGAGGACACATCTGGAAATTGTTCTAGGAAAGCAGAAGAAAATGCTATATATTTAAACTGACACTCATTTTCAGGAGATGCTCTGCCTTCCTGGGACCCACTGGGATCCTAGATTTAAAGTATTCAAGAATGCATGGAGTCGCTAACACATACTCCATCTCACCTTCCACTGATACTTTCTTATAATGATTGAAATTCTTGGGGTAACCATAATTTTCAAGAATAACACAGCCAGAGACTAGGAGGCTCTGTGAAGTGGAATTGGGGTAACATAACATAGTTTTAGTATGTAATAATTTAAATTGGCAAGCCTTTGTGGTAGCGTTCCCTCCCCCCCACCCCCCAGCAGAGTTTAACAAACTCTCTAAGGGTATCAAAGCCCTTGTTTCAGATTAAACATAAACACACAAATATTGTAACCTGACAGTTCTTTTAAAGATTTTTTTTTTTTTGGATGGAGTCATGAACATTTTCTTGGTAATTGTTTCTCAATTGTTGGGAGCTACTGACTTGCATTTTGTGCCATTCAAGCGCCTTGAGAATTGTTTGCAACAGAGTGATTGTTTTGCTGATGTATAAAGTTCTGTCTGAACTTTGCCTGAAATTGCACAGCGACTTCATTTCCCCATGCCCCTCCCTAATAATTCTTGAGAGGCTTAGAACTGAAAATCAAATTCTAATTAGTTTATCTTAAACACGTTAGAAAAGGATTGGTGTCATAATAAACCGTGTGATGGGAAACTTGCCCCAGATGAAGAGGAAGTTAATGTTCCAAGGCCAGGATGGTAGCAATCCAGCTGTGGGTGCTGGAGCTGTGCCAGGCCAGCCTGTGTGATGAAAGCCAAACTTGGCAGAAACTCGGGACTTGGGCTTTGTAAGAACTCGTGTTGCAAATTCGTTCCCTGTGTCACAGGCTTAAACCCAAATGGCTTTTGAAGATCAGCTGTGATTAATAGGAGTCAGTTGGAAATTAAGAGTCATTGGTTTAAAATGGTAGCTCAACAAATAATAGTTTTCTCAATCTATCTTCTAACATTATTTCTGAAAATCGTGAAGGGTAGAGGGAGAGAGACTATTTTGGATGTTTTCTGATTTACTGATCTCCTACTTACATCATGGTTTAGATTGTTCTCTGTTTGCTCAAAGTTTGTGGGTTGAGCTGCTGTTCTGTGGTTTGATTTTTAGGGGGCGGTAAGTCTCATTTTAAATCAGCCACTGCCCCTTGACAATGAGTAATTTGGTATTTTCCTCCTTCTCTAGTGTCCCTTCTCCCATGAACGTGTACATGCACAAAGACAGAAATTAGTTCATCCAAGCTCAAATTTGCGAGTGTTCAATGCTGCTTGCAGATAGATCTATTAATATTTAGTAGTATTATTACTATCCCCAAACAGAAAAATGAGTAGGATTTGCCTCTGCCCTCCAACATTCATGTTTCTTTCACCTTCTTCTTTATGCAACCATGTGTGTGTGTATATGTGTATATATATATATATATTTTTTTTTACTTAGTTGTAATTCTGTAATTCTTAGATATAATCTGTATCTTCATCATTTGTGGTTTTTTAATGTTCATCTATTTTCATTTTTGGTGGTCATGTTAACTAACGGTCAGTTCATGAATTGAACTGTTTCCATATTGTTAGATATCCCGTCTCCTCCATGTGGGGCCAGTAGTAGATGTCTTTGTTCATATAACTTTTTCATTTAGGGAATTAATCTGAAAAAAAGTAGACCTATTAGGTCAAAGAATATGGATGTTTTTATGGCTTGACACATATTGCCAAATTGCTTTCCATAAGAGTTGTTCTAATTTACAATATCCCGCTCACCCCAGGGTGTGATGTACCTATTTCACTTTCTTACTAGCTTTAAGAACTGACATTAAAAGGATATATATTTTTGAAATTATTGCATATTAAATGTTCCTCATTTAAATATATGAATATCTTAGGAAGGTCATTATAATTATGCGTCCTTTGAGTTTCTGAGTCCATTATAAAAATTGATGACCAGATAGTTCTCCTGGAGCAATACGATCCTCAAGTGAACCATGAGTATAAAAATATGTTGCATTTTATATTTTCATGGGAACTTTACATTTCTTTGCTACTAATAATAAACTTCATGCTGTGTCTGTACAGGAAATGAGAGTTCAGTCCATTTTCGCATCTGAAATTATCTCAGTAGTGTCTTTTGGAATTTACTGTTTGTGTTTAGTTTGATACTGAATTTGGAATTGGTCAGAAGGAAAACCATTTTCTCACCATTTCCAGATGAATTTTCTATGTGAATCTAAGGCAGGGTTTTGCTTGGATCACTAATGCTTAAGCTGGAAAGTGTACAGTAGGATCACCTAGAAACACAGACTACTGAACCCACCCCCCAGAGTCTCTGATTGATAGGGCTGGGGCTGGACCCAGGATTTCGTTTTCTAACAGAGCCCCAGGTGATGCTGTGCTGTGGTCAGAGACTGTACTCTTGAGATCCCAGGTTAAAATGGAATATATTATATCAGTTTCAATCAGGCTGGGAAATAAAGACTGTCTCTAGGATGCTGATAGGGCCTGTGTAAGCAGGATTTCTTGGTTTGTGTTCTGATACGTGAAACTTGCTCTCTCTTCCAAGCCGAAGCAGGGTTCCTTTCTCCTTTTAGTCTTGTAGCTGGGCATTGGCCTTTCTTTCTGGAGTTTTGCTACTTCTCTGACAGTACTCTTCCTTTCTTCCTTTAATATTATAGTCTGTAGACACACTGCTTTCTTACTTGGATTCAGTGTGACATGGAGGCAGAACTTGACATGTGGACACCACAGGTAAGTGGGTGCATCATAGCTCTTCACTTGTGCCATTTAGCTTTGGGTCTGATCAAAATACCTCTAGTAGCCCCAACCAAGCATCCTGCAGCTGTTCCCTCTTGGGATCAGAAGTCCTTTCTCTGAAGCCTCAGCTTTCAGTGTTTAGAACCCTGTATGTAGAAACATCAGAGGTATGTTGCTCTAATACTGTGGTCATCTGCTTATGGCTTTAAAAACGGAAATGATCTTCACTGTCCCTCCTTTGGCACATCTTTGACTGTAGCATCATCCAAGCAGCATGAGCCTCTGTTAAACTCTGTTAAACTTCACGTGTCTCCTCTTCCCTGCCCACAGGAGGGTTCTGCAGACACGCTTCCATTGCCCTGTGACCGCCTTTATTTTGTGATGGAATCCAGCGTGGCAAAAAGCATTTGTATCTTATTGAAAAAACCCTGCTGGCCAAGCTACATCTCTTAATGGGGTGTGGACTAGGAAATACTTGTTAGAATAAGCTTATGTTTGGCACACATACTTTGGAAAACCTCCTCTGTGAGTCCTTGGGCTGGCCAAGGAAACACGTGTGCGTCTAGTTCCTAAGCACAATGAGCTTGTGTACAGAAACCACAACAACGCGATTTTCTTCAGCAACTTAACATCCAGTGTGTTTCATGGTTTTGTTCCCCTACTTCAGTGTCTATTAAGGTTTGAACAAAGGGGAGAAGCATATTAGAGAAATTTTTAAGTATTCAAGAAATTTCTTTCAGGTTTATTTTGTCTGAGGCTTTAAGTGTGGGTTTGGGTCCGCCTGAAATGCGGGAGACCCAGGTTCGATCCCTGAGTTGGGAAGATCCCCTGGAGAAGGACATGGCAGTTCACTCCAGTACTCTTGCCTGGAGAATCCCATGAACGGAGGAGCCTGGTAGGCTACAGCCCATGAGGCTGCAAAGAGTCGGACATGACTGAGCAACTTCACTTTCACTTTGGGGCAGGAATATAGAAGTGGAGTAGGAAGGGAGGATTTTTTTCTTGATTCCTGGAATTTTAGGGCCTTGAGTTAAAGGTCTAGACCAGAGGAGGGCAGTCAGTTGACCTCACGACAGAATAATGAGAGGCCAGCAGAACTTTACTGAGTGGTGCTTGCTGCTTACCCGTCTCTCTTCCTTGACACACCTTTCAGAGCCCGTCCACCAAGGCAAGCCTCTGTGATGTCAGCCTTCTAGCAGCCTCGGCATCAAGTGAACGATGCATTCTTCTTCTTGTAAGGCCTCCACAGCCGGCAAATGCTCGCAGCTCTAGTGGAGCATCTCCCTCTAGGTTGCGGTTTGTGAGATGTAAGGCGTCTGGTCACAGCTTAACTCAGAACGTGGCTGCGCCTTTGACGTCTCCCCTGACAACTGGAACGTTAATCAGAATTTTTAGTAGGGCTCGACTGGGCAGCAGTCTCTGAACCATTTGCTTCGGTGCTGTTTCTTTGCTGCGAATCTCAGTGGTGGAAATGACTTTTAACAGATTTCAGATGATGCATTTAGTCTTGACTTTGATGTGCATGGTTCCACAGGCCCATGAACTGGACTGGGGGTAGTGGGATGAGGTCATCGCTGCCACACGTGTACTTTACTTAGCAGAGAACAGAGCTGTCCTTCTAGCTGAGTTCCTGTTTCAGAAAGGTGCCCCTCCCTTGGGGAGAAAAAGAGCTTCCCAGCAAGTGCACCCTGTTGGTTCAGGCGTGACTCTCTGAAATCTCTGGCAGTGAGGCAGGGTCAAGGGGGACTGGGACTGGAACCCCTCGGCTGTCATCACCTTGGCTGTAAGAGTGCCATCCATTTGTCAGTCGTTTTTTATGTGGGCCATGGCATGAAAACTGTGTTTGAAACTCTCCTGTGAGGAGTGTTAAGCAAAGTAACACAAGTAGATTTTTTTTTTTAAGTAACATTTTTCATTTATTTTCTAAGATATATTTATTTGGCTGTGCTGTATCCTAGTCGTGGCATGTGAGATCTAGTTCCCTGACCAGGGATCGGACCCCGGCCCCTTGCACTGGGAGCACAGAGTCTTGGCCACTGGAGCACCAGGCAAGTCTCAACAGATACATGTTTTTGAATTTTGTTCCTACCGTGAAAAAATGCATCTCTGAAAACAGTGCTTCCCAAGATTCTTTCATACATGTACTACCTTTATGATCTTTTTTCTATCCAAGTGCCACTTGGACCATTATTTTCTTAATTGTTTGAAATTTTTCAAACATTTCTTTTTAAAAGGAAATTTTCCCACTACTGGAAGTGGGAAAGCCAGCATCCCATGGCATTAAATGGAAGATAATGTTAAAAATACATATACAGTTATTTAATAAGATGAAAAAGTTTTATCTGTGAACCATTTTCTCACAGGTCATCCCTGAAGAAAACACTGTATTAACTTATAGAGATTTCTCAGAAGCCAACCATAAAGCACTCTGATTCTCTGTAAAATGGCTTTAGTCGTAATGTTCTAATTTCTGAAGGGTTTTTTAATTCCTGTAGGCATTAACTGTTAATGGTAGCACTCTGTATGTATGTAGGTGCTGGGGCTTCTCTTTCCCTCACCTGTCACTTGGATGTGCCCACCCAAGTTGTGGAGCAGTGGAGAGAGACAGTGTGACATGGAGTGTGCCCACTGTTGTGATGAGATGTACACACTGCCGTTTTGGGCTTGGTGGGCAGAGATGTAGAATACAAACAGGGAAGTGGATTCTGGTTTGTCATTAATTAGCAGTGAGCTTAGACAAGTACATTTTCCTCAGTTTCTTCTCTTGAAGGAAAAGAAGGCTGTGATCTACCTGACTCTTAACATCACATGGATGTATTATTTTTTATTTTGATTAATTATTGGATATTGGAGTGTAATTGCTGCACGGCGCTGTTTCTGCTACACCATGAAGTGAATCAGCCAGATGCATACATACATCCCCTGTCCCGCCCCCACTCCCCATCCCACCTCTCTAGGTCATCGCAGAACCCTGACCTGAGCTCCATGCAGGTATCTTTGCCTCACCTTCAGACTGTTCAAATTATAACTAAGTCTACAACCCCTTATTATCTGCAACTGAAAAAAATCCCCCGAACTTTGAAAGCCAAATGGTTCGGGTATGGAGGATCACGAGGAAGGCCTTGTTTCTGGATACTTGCACTTTCAGAAAGACCCCTCTGGTGTTTCATGTGGTTTGAAGCCCTGTCCAGGGCATTCTTGAGATCGTGATGTGTCCTTTACAGGTGTTGGAACTAAGGCCTGGTAATTAAGGCTTTTACTTAGGACCAGGCAGTGAATTAATGCCAGGGATATTGTTGGTAAAGGTATATCTGCCCCAGAGAAAAATATCACTTAGACATATGTCCAGGAATAAAACTGTGTAAATCAGATACACATGTCCAGCGTTTTGGGGGAAGAGGTTATGGATAATTTCTCTGAGCCTTTCCGTGGCTCTTGAAGTTTCACCCCGCTAGCGTGAAGCAGCACGGCCTGGCAGGCTCCGTCCCGCCTTGACCACTCTTGAAGCGCTCCTCTCCTGCGCGCTCCTGGATCCTTTGTGGCTGTGCCACTCCTTTGGCACTTGAAGCACTTTGTATTTTTAGCCCCCTTTGCTGAATGCACGCTGTTCTCTTCGCTGGCTCACGATTTGGCAGTTGCTTATTGGGTGCTGCTGTAAAAGGACTTGAAAGTCCACTTGTTTTCTGGCAGAAGAGGAACAGTTGTAAGTAACTTCCTGCCTCGACAACATGAGTCATTTCACAGCCTCGCCTTGATCTCTCACCCCACCCCCCCACATGTGCACCCACATCAGCCACAGGGAACGCCCCTGCCCCTCCCCAACACGGAGGGATCACTGTGAACCCCTTGTCTTTGTCCCGTCCCCCTCCTGTCCCCCCCACCTGGAGTGCCCCCTCTCCTTGCCGTGTTCTCGTCCCACAGTCTTTCTCGACAGCTCCTCGCTCTGCTCCCTCAAGTCCTGGCTCCCAGAAAGTTTCTTAGGCTCCCATGGCACCAGGTTTATTATGTCTGGTACTTAAACCACACAGGTGGTGTGGCTTAATTCTCTAAAACGCCCTGAGCACCGTGTCCCCCACTCCTTCTGCCTATTCCTAGTTTGTATTTTTTTCACATATTCTTTTCCCATTATTTTTGTCACCAACATCACATCTTTATTTGTATATCCTTGGTGCAAAGGACAACCTCTGGATCACACAGTTTAAGGGATTAAAGTGGTTTTTGAGCCAGTTTGGAAACTAGCAAGTAAAACTTAGAACGTCTATCTTTGCCTTTCAAGATATATAAAGGCATAAAAAACTTTTTTTTTTTTAAAACAAGATTTCCATTATCTAAGCAAAAAAAGAGAGGGACTTGTCCTCATCTTCCACTAGAGTTCCTTGAAAACTGAGAGTATATCTTATTCTTTTATCCTCAGTGTTTAGTATGATGTTCCACACATGGTTGGTATGTAATGTACTTTGAAATAATTGCTTTCCTTGACCAGAGGGAGTTCTAGATGACGGTGGAGTTTAATCCCAGACTTATTTTATTCTGGGGAAGCATGATCAACATTAGATGGAGAGTCAACCATTTGTCCAATGGTTGACAAGAGGTGTGACTAAGTCCCAGACATAATGAATTAAATGGTCTCTTTAAACTTGATTCCTTTTGTTAAAAATGGCAGTTAAAATTAAAATATGGAGAACTATAAACCCAAAAGAAAACATCTTTGTATAGTAAAATTTACTGTTGAGTATTCCCAAATTCTGTTTTAAAAATCTTACTGTACTTTTGCATTTACATAAAAATTCAACTTCATAGTCGTGTAACCCTTCCCAAGCTGGCTAGGCAAATTACTCCCACATGTGGCCCTTATAAAGGTATAAATTATTTTGCAGGTCTGTGTTCAGCTCTATTTTATGTGATGTCTCCTAGTAATACGTGTATTGAAAAGAATTAAAATATTGTTTGAATGCTTCCTAGGGACCTGACGAGTAGTAGTAGATAAGGCCTCTGAGATGCAGTATCTTAAGTCATCTTTTGAAAGCAGTAATTTATGCCCAGTCTGAACTGTTTATGATTTGCCAGGAAAGGTTCTAATCCACTGACTAGTACACATTACAAACACAGTCAAGCAATGTGGGTAAGTTAGATTTTAAAATATCAATTATAATTTTTAAATCTAATTTAGACTACATTCCATTTTTAAAATATATCTATGAAGTTTAACAAAACTATAGTATTTAGCAGATGCTCCTTATCATGACTAATCTTTTCTATAAACGGTTTGTATCTATATGGGATCTGTTAGAACAGCTTCTCACTGTTAATTTGACAAATGAAAGGAGATTGCAAAACAATTATCTTCCCGTCTGTGCCAATAATCGATCTGGTAAGTATTTAGGAAGTTACATGGAGGAAGAGGGCAGTAAACCAGGGAATCCACTATCCACATTGTTGAGGCCTTTGATGATGGAAGAAAAGTAATGGATTTCCTGGGTTTTATTTCTATAAAGAATCCATTTTCTAATTCCAAATTATTTCTTTAAATTTTTCTGTTTGTGGAACTACTTTTCTTTGCAAAAAGTAAGGAACTGATGTAATTTTGCTGGGGTAAAAGATTTCTAAGGCATTGAAAACCATGCAGAAGCAGAAATTAGCCACTTTCATAATTGCCTGGGAGTGAGGAAGAGTTCATTCTTTTTAGCCATTCTTCTCCTTTCCAAATGACTGTCCTCTGCATTTTATTTTGTGCCTTTGATCTAAGAGGAAATAATAGAGCCATCAAACAGACAGCTGTGAATGACAGAGGGTACTTAGAACATACGGGATGAATGAGGAAATTGTATTTCATATTACATTATTTGCATCCTCTGAAGGGGATGGATTATTTCACAGCAGTGACTTGTTCCCTAATAACAGAAAGGGGTATTTTGCTGATGGTTTTGGATTATTTGCCTCTAGCTCTAGTTCATGGACTGCATTTCATTTCAGTTTATGGTTTGAAGTTACTAGATTCATGTACTTTTCTTTAGGTATCTTGACCCTATTTAATTAAAGAGATTCTCTTTGAGTAGTAGTCACATTTTCTTCTAACAGTTGTTGCCCTTAAGTTTTCTGCAGGGCTTCCTTCCTTTGCTTTGTTTTCCTTGTATTTTTAAGACCTACCTGTGGCTTTTAGGATCATCTTGAAGTTTGAGGAAGGTGATCAGTGCTTTTTTTTTTCTGCATTGTATCCTGTGATGCCCACCAATAACACCCTGGAAACCTCTATTCTTTTGCTAACCAACACAATTCTTGTCCATGTATGAAGGTATTGTGGAGGATTACAAGCCACCATTCTATGATGTGGTTCCCAACGACCCAAGTTTTGAAGATATGAGGAAGGTAGTCTGTGTGGATCAACAGAGGCCTAACATACCCAACAGATGGTTCTCAGACCCGGTAAGAATACTATGCTTGCTTCATGTCAGAGCTATACTGTCTATACCTTTGTATACAACTCTATACATAGCAGAGTTTCAGCTGGTAGAGTGATCTGTTGCTTTCTCTTCCTATTTTATGTAAAAGGGCTTTAAGACTTAGTTGAACAGGTTCACAAAGTGGTCTCATTCTTGAAAGAGCCACATCGATAGATCTTGATAACAAATGACAACATTCACAAGATTTTCTACCCTGGACCAGCTCCAGGAATTGGGAGACTCATTACTATGCCACTAGCTCTGGGGCTGCAGTTTCACCTGTAAACCAAGAGACTTGAATTAATGCCTTTAAACTCTTTCCTGTCTCTGCATATCTGAAATTCCAAACATAGGCTGTTTAATGCTAACAATCCTTAATTGCTGTTGTTAAGTAGTAAGTAGCAAATCTTAAGACATTGAGAAATGACCCTATTTGCATATTTCAGTATTAACTCTGAGTTAGTACTATGGCTTTTAATACCCATAAAACTATCAAGGGGTCCAGATTGGTCTATGTAATTGACTTGGTAAAGTCAGATGGTAGCATTAAGACACTCAAGAGTGGCTTCTTTATCAGTGGCCAAGGCTTTGATTATTATGTAAGAAAGATGTTAATAACATCACAAGACCTGCAGAGCCCTGCAAAATGGTTGACATAACATCTGCCCAACTACTTGTTCACTGTGGTGTTGGTTCTTTCTCTCCTCAGACATTAACCTCCCTGGCCAAGCTGATGAAAGAATGCTGGTATCAAAATCCATCTGCCAGACTCACAGCCCTGCGTATCAAAAAGACTTTGACCAAAATCGATAATTCCCTAGACAAATTGAAAACTGACTGTTGACATTTTCATGGTGTCAAGAAGGAAGATCTGACGTTGTTGTTGTTGTTGTCCAGCTGGGACCTATTGCTGGCCTGACTGGTTATCAGAACAGAATCCATCTGTCTCCCTCCCCAAATGGCTGCTTTGACAAGGCAGACATCTTACCCGGCTGTGTGCTGGGGAAGACACCAAAACCACCCTAACCTCGCTCAATGACTGTGACCTGGGCATTTCACAAACTGTTCACACTGCAGAGACTTAACGTTGGACAGACAATGTTGCAAATGTAGGGAACTGGAGGAACACAGAGAAATCCTGAAAGAGATCTGGGCATTAAGACAGTGGCTTTGCATATCTTCACAGGTCTCCTAGACACTCCCCACGGGAAACTCAAGGAGGTGGTGAATTTTTAATCAGCAATATTGCCTGTGCTTCTCTTCTTTATTGCACTAGGAATTCTTTGCATTCCTTACTTGCACTGTTACTCTTAATTTTAAAGACCCAACTTGCCAAAATGTTGGCTGTGTACTCCACTGGTCTGTCTTTGGATAATAGGAATTCAATTTGGCAAAACAAAATGTAATGTCAGACTTTGCTGCATTTTACACATGTGCTGATGTTTACAATGATGCTGAACATTAGGAATTGTTTATACACAACTTTGCAAATTATTTATTACTTGTGCAGGTAGCAGTTTTTACAAAACTGCTGCATGCATATGTTAAAGCTTATTTTTATGTGGTCTTATGATTTTATTACCAAAATGTTTTTAACACTATACTCTGAAATGGACATTTTCTTTTATTATCTGTTAAATTCACATTTTAAGTGCTTCACATTTATATGTGTGTAGACTGTAACTTTTTTTCAGTTCATATGCAGAACGTATTTAGCCATTACCCACATGACACCACCGAATATATTACTGATTTAGAAGCAAAGATTTCAGTAGAATTTTAGTCCTGAACGCTGTGGGGAAAATGCATTTTCTTCGGAATTATCCATTACGTGCATTTAAACTCTGCCAGAAAAAAAATAACTATTTTGTTTTAATCTACTTTTTGTATTTAGTAGTTATTTGTATAAATTAAATAAAATGTTTTCAAGTCAAAGTGAATTTTGTTCAACATAAAAAAAAGATCTACATATTATAAAGCATTTTCTTATGGAAACAAGCACAAAATTAATTTGTAAGTCAAATTTGCATAAGTATTAACGAACTTTAAGGTTCTAAGGAGGATGCCTCCATCTTAAATTTGGTACCAGAAAATTTAAACTTGGTGGGGTGGAGGGGCTGCAATTTTATTTTTTTCTTAGATCTGTTGCCCCCACTATAAAGCAGGGGAAACTGACTGACTGACCTGCCTCCTTAGAAAGAGACTTGTGAATGTAAGTGGAAAGAAGAAGGTCAAACCATTTTGTTCAGTGTAAAAATCCTGTGTGAGGGAAAGCAATTTTTGGCATCTTACCTATCTTTGTTGCTTGGGAAGAGTTGGTTGGTGGCTTTTTTTACTTGTGTTCAATGGGGTTTAAAATGTAGGGTTTAGAGTAACTCAGAATAGAGGTGTTAAAATTCTGGAATGTTCACCAGAGGTAAGTTAATAACTTCATTAGTATACATTTATGTGGAGGGCATATATTAAGGTCACACTTAACTTAAAAAATTGTGATAAAACACATAACAAATTTACCATCATAACCATTTTTACATATACAGTTCAGTGGTATTAAGTCTATTTACATTGTAATGCTGCTACTGCCCCAGCCAGCCACAGAACTCTTTTCATCCTGCAGAACTGAAACTCTGTCAGATGATAGCTCTTCATTTCTCACTCTCTTCAATCCTTGGCACCCATCATTCTATTTTTTCTTTAGTTTGGCTACTCTTAGTACCTCATAGGAATGGAATCACACAGTATTTGTCCTTTTGTGAGACTGGCTTACTTCACTTAGCATAATGTCAAGGTTCATCTGTTATAGCATACATTAGAATTTCCTTCTGTTTTATAGTTGGTAATATCCTACTGTGTTTATCCATTCATCTTTTGAGGGACACTTCAGTTGCCTCCCCATTTTGGCTGTTGTGAGTAATGCTGCCATGAACTTGGGTGTATAAACATCTCTTGAGTCCTCCCCCTTTCAATTATTTTGGCTGTATACTCACCAAATGGAGTGGAGTTGTATTTTAACATTTGAAGTATTATATACATATATAAAATTGTACAACTTGATGCATTTTTATAAATTTATACACTGATTGCACCCATGGAAACAGCACCTAGATCAAGAAGTAGAACACCAACTTCTAGAGGAATGTCAGGATCATGGCAGCATGAGTTGTTCTTTTTTCTCTTTGGTGTCACATCCATAACTGAACAAAAGTGCCTCTGCACATTATACCAGGACAGCAGGGATTACTGCGTATCTCTGCACCTCAAAATAGAACTTCAGAAGGGCTGTGGGTCCCAGGGAGACAGTAAGCCTGCTTCACCCCTCCTTGCTGTGATCAGGAAAAGGAAAACCTGAAGAGTATAGAACTGAGTGTCGGTCACTCATGGGAGACAGAGAATTTGTAGGGGTCCAGCCAACCTGATGGGGAGGTTCCAGGACACTATTAGAGCTGGACAGAGGTGAGTTTAAAGGCAGAGGAGAGAGGGGACTCCACTGAGGCACCTGATTTGCCCAGGATGACGCTGCAGTGCTCTATGTTTGTGTCGGCATCGGTGGCTACCTCTTTGCCAGCAGCGGTGGAAAACCCAAATGTGAGTGACAGACTGCCTGGCTGCTAGAGGTACCTATTTGTCTCCAGCAGCTCTTAGATTTCTGAGGGGGGATTTCTGTGACTGGGAGGAAGGAGAGGAGATGGAAGGAAGCAAACAAGAATGCCAGAGAACACCAAAATGTGTTTCCTGCCATCTGCTTTGGGATTTCAGCTGGCCGTCTACTCACAGATCTCTGGGAGTACCCCACTCGTGGATCTCCCTGTCAGGTCGCGGGCATCCCCAAAGCCCCAGGCAACTCAGCCCACAGTTCCTGGCTCTTTCTGTGCTCCTGAATGCAGCCCTGAAAACTAACCCTGGTAAGGAAAAACCAGAAACGTGAGCTATAGTGTCATCTTCTGGAACACAAAAGAAGGTTTTTAGATGCCAGCCTATTGACTTGTGATAGCCAGAGAAAACAAATCCTTCACTAAGAAAAGTGTCTGCTATTGCAGAAGCAAAACCTCAAACATTATGGAAAATCAAGGAAATACTGTGTCAAAAAAAGAACATTAATTCACCAGTAACTGAACTCAAAGGCATGGAATATTGTGATCTAACTGATAAAAAAATGCAAAATTGCTATTATGAAGAAATTCAACAAGCTATAAGAACACTCAGAAAGGAAATTCAGTGAACTTAGGAATAAATTTAATGATCACAGGTTCTTTATCAAAGAGACTGAAATTTTAAAAAGAACCAAATAAATTTTGGAGCAGAAGTCAGTGAAGGAGATGAGGAATTCATTAGTGAGCAAAAGTAACAGATCTGATGAAAGAAAAAATAAGTGACTTGAATGGTAGTTTAGAAATGATTCACTTAAAAGACAGGACTAAGGTTTATAAAAAGTGAAACTCAAGAGTTATCAGAAAAACTAATACTAGATACTGTACCAGAAGGAGAGAGAGAAGGGGGCAGAGTTTATTTAAAGAGAACTTCCCAACCCTGGGGAAGGAATTGGACATACAGGTCCATGAAGGTAATAGCACAACCTATTATCCCAATGCAGACAAACTGTCTCCAAGACCCAGTCTAATAAAACTGTCAAAAATCAACAGACATGTGGATATGGTGGCCGGTGGGGGATGGGGTTGGGGATAGTCGGGTAGGAGATGAACTGGGAGAGGAAAGCTGACATATGTACACTACCATGTGTAAAATGGCTAGTGGGAAACCTGCTATAAAGCACTGGAAGCCTGGTTTGTGGTGCTCTGTGATGATCTAGATGAGTGGGTGGGAGGGAGGTCCAAGAGGGAGGGATATAGGTGTACATACAGCTGATTTACTTCACTGTAGAGCAGAAACTAATACAATACTGTAAAGCAATACTCCAGTAAAAGATCAATGATGATGAAGCAACTAGGGAGAAATTCAAGTAACCTACAAAGCAATCTCTGAATAAGCTATCAATGGGTTTCTCTGCATAAACTCTATATGCTGCAAGAGAGAAGAAGGACATATTCAAAGTACTGAAGGATAAAAGCTGCCAACCACAATTAAACAACAAACCTATCCTTCAGATATGAGGAGAAATAAAGACTTTCCTAAATGAGGACTGAAGGAGTTCACCAATAGACTTGCCTTGCAAGAAATTCTAAAAGAGTTTAAGCTGAAATGAAACCATGCCAGTGACAGAAAAACATGGAAGTTCATAGTACTCTGATAAAGGTGGAAATTAGAAAACGTTTAACTTTACATTAGAATGGTTTGTTAATCAGTTAATGATAGTATAAAGTTTAAATGAAAAAAACTCAAGAATAACTACACTATATCTTGCTAATAAATTTATGGCATAAAAATGTTAACTGTGATGTCAAAACTATAAGAGGAGGATTAAAGAGGGGAATCTTTATAGGTGAACAAAGATAAGTTGCTATCAGAATAAAAAGGGCTGTTTCATCTATAAGATCTTAGCTTCTGGTTAACCAAGAAGCAGAAATCTATTATAGAGTCATAAAACATGGGGGGAAAAAAAAGGAGACTGAGCAAATTACAGGGAAAACCACCAATTTGCTAAGGTATGCAGAGGGAAATAAAACACAAGGGAGATGGTAAACCACCAGAAGGCAAATGGTAAATTCTTGCATAATCAGGAAATGTAAAGGGACTGAAATCACCAGGTTAAAGGCAGACAGTAGCTTGAATGGATTAAAAAAAAAAAAGAGCCAGCTCTATGCTGCCTAAGGAGACTCATCAGCCCTAAAGACACACACAGATTAAAAGGAAAGGGTTGGAAGAGGACAGACAGTTCATGTAAATGGG